TTGCTTTCGATCAGTTAAGTAACTGGTAAACCATTTATGGTATTCGTGGCTTATTCCATAATATTTTAGTTTTTCTAATAAAATCTGATGATTAACGGTGTCAAATGCTTTTGACAAGTCTAGGAATATACCTAAGGTATCTTTAAAGTTGTTAAACCTTTAGAATTTTACTGAACTTCTACTGACTGGCACTTTAAAAGAAGATTTATTTTTGACTTCATTAAAGAAAAGCGAGAAAAAAAAAAATGAAACCTTGAATAGCCTTCTTGATAGCTTGAGTAACGGTTAAAAATAAATAAAAAAAAAAGGAAATTAAGATATTTTGAAGCAATCTGTCTTTTTGATTACTTTAAACGTTTTGTTTAGAAAGAGACATCAGATAAAACTTTTTTTTTGAAGTTTTACTTATTCAAAACGTTTTTTTAGAAAAAGACTTCAGATGAAACTTTTTTTATCTGTAACGCAACGATTAAAAATCAATCAAAATTTGAATAGCATAAATTTGAAAGAAAAGTTGCGTAACTTTTATACGCAAAGAAACTTTTGCAAAGACTTTTATTTTTTATATCTTCAAATTTTTAAGATAGAAGTAGAAGGTCAACCATTAAAAATTAGCAAAAACTGAATTGTTTTTTAAACTTTTCTCAAAAAATTAATTAAGAATAATTGGTTAAACAAGAAATATAGAATTTTGGACCCCCCTCCTCCCTTAATATTAGCGAAAAGTACGTACAAAACAAAAATATTTACTTTTTGATAATAAACTGAAACCTTGCAAAGACAATCTATTTTTTTGAACCCGTAAAACTAAAACCCGTAAAACTTTCTTGATCAAAATAAAATTAATGCAATTAGTAGGCCTTGGTCACATACCAAGGCCCGCCAAGACAAGTTCAGCTCACTAAAAAACATCTAAAGAACATGCTAACCTGCTCGACCGAAACGGACCGAAAGTTAGTGAGTTAAGAAGAACGAAGAATATTAGAGTGAAAGACAGAAGAAGTTGAGTTAGAAAGATAGCATATAGATAGCAGACAGATAATGTACTTGATGTTAGAATGTGCGCTTATACATTTAGCGGTTACAAATTACTAATGTAATTTACCGTATTTGTAAATGCCACAAAGGAGAATACAAAATAATAAAATGAATTCAAAACTGGCGGATTTTAGTTCAATTTCATTTGCATAAAAAATAATCAAGCATAGCGGAGGCGTTCTTATTTATGTTAAAAAAATATAACAATATTTTACCAGACATGACAGAAGCATTTATAATGCCAATATATATAGGTTTTAATTATTGAAATTTTAAGCAATAAAGTTAATAATATTTTTTTAAGTTGTTGTCTATATTTTAAACCGACCAGAATAACCCACTAACTGTTTCTTTAATTAATAATATCTATTTTTTAGAAATTTGTGTAAATATAATACTAGGAGATTAAATTTTGATATAAAGCCTTTATTTATTGACGCTTGAGAATGACATTTCAAAAAATATTTTATCTGGATTTCTGAAATGTGGTTTGGACCATTAAATGTGGTTTGGACCATTAAATGCATTATTTGGCCAAAAGCAGAAAGATCAAGACCAAGGCCACATGTTATAAGGCAAGGTCACATGTTACAAGGCCAAGATCAAGACCAAGGCCAAAAGTTACAAGGTCAAGACTAAGAATAAGAGTTTTAAGACCAAGGCATACGCAAACATTTCCGAGACCAAAGACTTAAATTTTGTCTTACGTCTAGGCTAATTATTAAGAAAACTGTAGGTAACAATTACTGTGACAATAAAACCATATATTGTGAAAAAAAACAAGGTTATGCGCAGAACTTAATGAAGTCAATAAGAAAATTTATTCCTATCTAACTATAACAACGCTGAACTTTTTAAAACAGTAAAGGAAGAACTCAGACATATATCTAATTGGTTTAAGTGTAATAAGTTAACCTTGAATACTAATAAAACAAAATGGGTTTTATTTCATTCGATTACAAAAAAGCGGTTTCTCACAAATTTTTATCGATCAAAAGGAAATAAAAAGAGATTTTGTTACAAACCTTTTAGGTGTTTAACTTCATGAAAACATTACTTGAAATCACCATATTGATTATATAAGCACAAAAGTTTCTAAAAGCATGGGGATCCTATATAAATCACGAATCTCAACAAGAAAGTTTTAATCCAACTTTAATATTCACTTATACATAGTTATTTAAATTATGCCAATATTGCTTGGGGAAGTACAGAAAAAAGTATGTTACAACGCCTTTATCTCCGTCAGAAACGCGCAATCCGTGTAATCAATTTTGCTAATCGCTTCTCTCATTAGAAGCATTATTTTATTGAAATGAGAGTTCTAAATATTTACGAGTTAAATGTATTTAGTATTTTATGTTTTGTTTATATGCGGATAAATAACTTATCCCAAGCAGTCTTCAAAGATCTTTTCTCTTTTAAACCAATCAGTAAATATATTTTGAGAAATAATAACTTTTTAAATGAACCTTTTCGTCAAACAAACTTTAATCAAATTTGTATTACCTATCGAGCGCCATATCTATGGATTAAAATTGTTTTGCCGAATTTTAATTTTGAAGTACCTATAACTTTTTGCCTTTAAAAAAAACAACTGAAAAACTTCATTTTTTCATTAGATAATATATTGAGTTATTATTAGTAGTAAAAGTTAAAAATATATTTTTATATACTTTTTTTATTATTTATATACATGTTTACGTTTTTAGAAGTTTATTTTTACTAATTTTATATATTGTTTTTATACTTTTTAATTTATATGCCAGTTTACTCTAGTATAAAATTCTGATGAGAAGATCCTCTTGATCTTTCATCAGACACAGATTATTTACCTTGCAATTTTGTAAAAGTTTATTTTTTTTAACCTTATCTTTGTTAAATGCTTATTTAAGGTTCTGACGACAAGTTCTTTGCGATCTTTTTTCAGATACCTTGTTAATATTTGTTACATTTTCTATCAAAATATACTGTAGATACCGAAAACGAAAATACATAAAAACAAAGAATGAAAACTTTTAATTCTTTAATTTTATGTACATATTTTTCAAGGACCAGGGCAAAATAATCAAGGTAAATGCCAAAATATTTAAGGCCAAGGCAAACAGTTTCAAAGCCGAGACCAAGGTCTTAAATTTTTGGTCTTAAAGCAAAGCCAAGGCCAAGGACTAGCAGGTCTGATTACAGTTATTAATTTGTTTGTCTTTCAAGTAAGTATATACCTTTTCTTCAAGTTTTTTACTTCTTATTTACTTTTTTTTTAATGATGTTTATAGTTTGTATCAAGGTACAAGGTATACAAGGTACCCCATGGGTAGGATATCTCAAAACAAATTTTTAAATTTACTTTAAATAGTAACACAAGTTTACCCTGCTTTAATTTAGAAAATAATAAATCTTTTTTTTAGGTATAAATTTGTTCTACAAATAAAACCAATTGCCTAAAAAAAAGATGTATAAAATAATTATTATGAAGCAAAAACCAAACGTGTGTCATGGTGCTCCACTCTCCCCAACTTAAAAGTAAAACAAATATAAACAAAGTTATATATAAATATATCTTTATGTTTATATATAACTTTGTTTATATTTTTCAAAGTTATATATAAATATATTTTTATATATAAATCGGTGATTGTTAAAAGGGCGGAAGTCCAACTATAAAAACTTTCCAACTAGAAAAAAATTTAAACCATTAACAAAAATTTACTACGGGGAAAATGCAGTTTTTTTTAGTCCCAAAGGTTTACGTTATTGGACTTCCGCCCTTATAACATTCACCAATTCATTTAGTGACAATATTTAAATCTAAGCTTAAAATTTTTCGTCAACTATAAATGTCTAGAACGTGCTTAGATTTTAAGTAAATGGAAAATCCTGCCAACAAAACACTGGAGAAAGATTTTGTAAAAAAAAACTAGCACTGTTATTAGATATTTTTTGGCATCACAAAAATTCTTTACTTTTAAAAAATCTTTTAAAAGTAAAAAAACTTAATGGGCTTAAATCAAAAACTCGAGAACAAGTTGTATAATCGAGTCCAAAGACCTTTGAAAACAAGTTTTAAAGATCTTTGTTACGATCTCGGATAACTCGATATTATGTAGACTTTTTGATTATTTAAAAACAAATTCCATATTGAATTCGTTTGTATTTTTTGCTTGGAATTAATGGGCTGTTCATTATTTGTTAATAAATAGGAGGAAGAGGGGAGAGATTTAAAAGTATTTGACAATTGCTGACATGGGAAAGGAAGGAGGTCAAGAAAAGTTTACTTCAACAATGTTACTTTTAAAAATAAATTTAATTCTTTAAAGAAAGAGAAAAAAATGTTTTTTTTCCCTTTTTAGAGAGAGAGAAAGAGGGCACGGGGGAGGGTTGGCTGTTGAAATTTTTGACAACAGGTAGAGGCAGGGGAAAAGAAGGGAGAGGTGAAAATCGCTAAAAAATTGTTGACATTAATTGACGGCCCCTAAAGTAGAAAAATAGCTAAAAAAAATTCCTATAAAATTTAAGCAGATTTATGGAGTATTTGTACCGACTACATTTATTTCAGTCACAAAAAGTTATGAAATTGTTTATCTTATCTCTCGATTAAACTTTATTAGACATTAGCCAAAAATGTGAATGTTGAATATATTTTGTATTATTAAAAATAGTTTTACGAACAAAAATTACTGAGTTCTTAAGGCTATCTGCTGCAACAAATATTAAATAAAAAAATCCTTTGTCAGCGCTTGAGGACTTTAATCAGAACGTTATTATTACCAAAGACCAATCAAATGTTTGATAGTCGGAAATGTTTGACCAATCAAATGTATGATAGTCGGAAGTATAAGTGGAATTCGCAGTTGGAACTTAGTTTAATTGGTTGGAGAGCTTTAAATTACTTTAAATAAAATAGGGTTTTAACGTTGTTAACAATAATGATAAATTTTCTAAGCAAATAAGAAACAAAAACATTCTTAACTATTTACGCTCTTTGAAATGAAAGAAATAAAAATACTATATACATTAAAATATAAGATAAAATCCAAATGCTGTCATACAATCATCCAGATACTATCACGCAGGGTATCACGAGTATTTACAACAATCTAATCAATATAAATAGAAATCTTTCAACTTAAGTTACAATTACTTTGAACTTATCTCATACGATTTGTAGCATTTGTTAGAGGTGCATTGCTTAGCTTTCTTCGAAACAATAGCACATGGGGTTCTAAAAAGTAAAAAAAGATATAAATTATATACAGTTTTAAATATTTTTGCACGTACGTGTATGTGTGCGTGTATAAATATTTATATTTAAACATGTATGTTTAACTCTTTCATACAAATATCAATTTATATTGAGAAAATTTTGCTGGATTGTGGTCACCAGCATCATTAGATTGTAAAATAATAGAATAGATTTTCTCAAAAAAATATAAATTAGTGTTGTTATCGACTTGGACTAAATCGACTTAAAGTCGACTAATCGAAAGTCGAAATTAGTCAACTTTGGAAAATCGAATAGTGAATTTAATTGACTAAAAGTCGATGATTTAGTCGAGGAAAAATTTTAAAATCCTTTAATCTTTTCATTTCATTTAACTTTTCTTTAATTTTTGTTTATTTAATAACAAAAGCTATTATAACTATTACCTAGTTTTTTGTTTATTTTCAAAGTTTTATTTAATTTATGTTGCATTATTTACGCTCTTCTGCGGTGCTCAGTGATGAGACCGTAAGGACTTCTGAAAACACCTTAACAACTATTTATTTTTATTTTTGATTCATTAATTTTTGTCTGTTATCTCCTGACAATGATACAGCTCTAAAACTCAGTTTAACGATTCTAAAACTGGCTGATAGTATAAGGTTTCCTAAAGTCTGTGGTAACTCTGATAGGGGTTGATTTCATCAAGAACTGCAAACATCAGAGTATTAACAGTGTCATGTTGCACATAGATGGCTTCCTGTTAGTGTTCTGTTTTCTGTAGTTCCTAGTAGTAAGGAACTCTTTGTTAGAATTTCGACTTGATTAGCAGAGATGAGGCAACTGTGTATCTTATTACTAATAATGTTCACTATAAATTATCGACTTAATTTCTCTATTAATTCATAATATGAATAGAGTACCTAAAAATATTAAACAAATAAAACCAAAATTACAACCAAATTGTTTTAATCTATTCTTTTACAAATATTTGTGGTTTTAAGAGTTACTTTTCATCCATTGAGATTTTCTTGAAAAATTCACTAAACCTACTTACTCTTGAATGGCTAATTTACTACTTTAAGTCTGGCTGTTGAATCGTTTCAGAATTTATGGCTATTATTCTTTCATTCACAATAACTCCAATATTTATATGGAACATATATTTATGCATCAACTCACCTATTTATTGTAGAATCAGTTTTGAACCCTTTGGTATATTTTTGTGTTTTTGTTTAGTAAACTCATCACTCAAGTACCATTCTCTTTCTTTCTTTTTTTGTTTTTTTCTCCAACTTCGTTTTCTAGGCAACCCTAGTTTTACATTTACTCCTTGATTTGTGTTTGATGTCTCTAACCCTATCTCATTTTCTTCCTACATCAGATATACAATTGCAATTCCTATACATTAAGAACAATTTTTTTAAATAAACATCTTTTTATTACTGTAAGAAATTAATGCAAAAAGTATTGTCTGACTCTAAGCTCCATTATTCTCAGGTAATAATTCTTCAATTTTATACCAGAAGTTAGATTCTAAGACTTTCAGAAAGTCTATAATAGTATTATTAACCAAATCAAGTCTAACACTCCATCTACATAAATATTCTGGCTCCTTTTACATCAATGAATAGACGTATCTGACTATACTACCGCAACCATGAAAAAATAATTTAAAAGAATATTTTTTTTAATTCACTTCTTGTAAAAATACTCTTTCTGTAATCACTGAGAAGTAGATTAGATCAGTCTACTGTTAGACATCACTTCAACACTCGTTGGCAAAGCTATTTCTCACTTACAACTTGTGGTCTAAATAACATTAAACTCATCTGCAGCTTTAGGTCTGCACAGCATACCTATCAGTCTTACAAAAATGTTTTCAAGAACTTTCATCAAAACTCTCTAAACTGTTTGTATCTATTATATTTATTTATAATACAATTATTTGTGTAATATTTATTTAACAAGTGTTGCACTAGTAGACTAGTGGGGGTGGCAGAACGCTTAGTCCAAAATATATCCAAAAATATAATGAGCAATTATGTATTAGTCTGAAGAATAAAAAAAGCTAAATAGTTTTAAGTAAAACAAAACTTAGGATGGGAAACACGGTTTAATTTACAATAAGCACAATAGCAAGTAAAAAATCTTTCAACTTTTAGGTCAGATTTCTGTGAATCAGTATTGTAAATTTATGCGGTAGTGGTGTAGTGGTAGAGCGCTCGCTTCATAAACGAGTGGTTCCGAGTTCGATCCCCACCACGTCCCTGGTAGTACCGCGCTCAACTCGTTTCTCCGCGCAGCGGCCTTGTTCGTCAAGGTTCGTGTTTCGGAGTTATAGAGTTGAGAGAGGGTGATAGCCACATAATAAGTAGCCTCCTCGTCTGTAGTGGCCTTCTCGGCCTTGAGGAGGTGAAATAAAATAAAAAAAAAAAAAAAAAAAAAAAAATCATATTTACACTTTTAACATGATGTTGTGAATTCAATACTTATTACTAAAGAATAAATTTCCATTAAAACTCAGGAAAATAAACCATTTTGACAACTTATGTTACTGTGTGATTATTAGAGATTATTAGAGATTAGAAAATCACTTCTTATCTCTGCAAATAAAAAAATTGGTGAGTTGATAACTGAAAGAAAACCAGTTTATAGCTTGTGGCAGATAAAAAAGTAGCTTAACCCATATTAGGTCTTAATGGGAAAAGATTACTACATCTGTCCAACAACATCCGTGGAGTAGTGAAATAACATCCGCACATTTTTGTGTAAGATCATCAGCTTTTTTTCTTTACTGAATTAACATCTGTGCAACAACATCTGAAATTTCATTGATGTCTAATAACATCTTTAGAAAGATGCAACTACATCCGAGAGTTTTTCTCGATGTGTAACTACATCCGTCTAAAATAATGCATTATTAAATAAAATAAATTTTCGGACGTAGTTACATCAAAAAAAATCAGATGTGTAACTACATTTGGTTAAAATAATGCATTATTAAAAAAAAAATTCCAGATGTAGTTACATTTATAAGTTACATATATAATTATTATATTATATAAGTGCTGCTACAGCACTTATATAATATAATAATTATATATCGACTGACAAATAGCCTGACTCGCAATGGAATGCTGCTACATCGACTGAGGGTTAGGTTTGGGCAGGCAGTCTATCAAAAATTAAAAAAAAAAAATTATTATGCTTAAAATAATGCATTATAATAATTTTTTTTTGGCGGATGTAGTTACATCCGAAAAAAATTAGATGCGTAACTACATCTGGTTAAAATTATGTATTTAAAAAAAAAAAAAAATTTGGATGTAGTTACATCCGAAAAATCTACAGATGTAGTTGCACAGATGTTATTATACATCAATGAAATTTGGGATGTTATTGCATGGATGTTATTATACATCAATGAAATTTGGGATGTTGTTGCACGGATGTTATTATACATTGATGAAATTTCGGATGCTGTTTCACTGATGTTATTATAAATGGCAAAAATGGGCATTATTGCCCTGACCCGCTCTTGATGCATATTTAGTCAAATATAAGATCAAGACTGAATGGTCTAATTTAAATATGCAACTCTAAAAGTCCAGAAAAACTAATTTTCATCTTTCTAAAGAACGTCATTTAAAATTCAACTATTGTTATTTAACACATTCACGCCGGCGTGTACCACCGGTGGTACACGCCGGCGTGAATGTGTTAAACAGAAGTTTTGATTGTGTTGTTTATATTAAATTGTTTATTTGAAAAGCAAAATCAGAAGTATTCTTTTGTTTCAAAATCAGAAGTATGTTTCGTTAGAATCCAATCTCCTAGCATATTAAAGCAAGTTTCTACTACTTGGTATTTGCTAAATCAGTATTTGTATTATGCATTAAAAAAGTTTGGTTACAATTTTAAATTTAATTATATTCCAAAACTCTTCCAATCTCTATCAAAAAATAATCTGGTATAACCCACCGTATAGTAAAAATATTTCTACAAAAAATGGTAAACTCTTTTTGAATTTAATAGACAAGCATTTCCCAGTTGGTCTATAAATTAATAAAGATAGCATGGTCTATAAATTAATAAAGATAGCAAAAAATAAAGACAAGCATTTCCCAGATGGTCTATAAATACCACAAGATTTTTAATAGAAATACTCTAATGGTGAGTTACAATTGTATGTCAGAAATCAAATTAATCGTTAACTTGCATTAACCATTATGTAATGAAAAACAATACTCCAGATTCTAATAAAAATTGCTATTGCATCATTGAAAGCAAGTATCCTTTAAATCATCAGTGTCTTGTAAATAACATAGTTTATCAAGCCATTCACACACTATTCACACATATTCACACACTCCTGATGGAAATGAAAAAATGTATTTTGGAATTAGTGAAACCACATTTAAACTATAATAATATATAACTTATTAAATAAGATGAATGAATTGGTATCTAAATATAGACCAGGGGGGCTATTCTAGATAGACCAGGGGGGCTATTCTAGATATAGCAGGGGGACTACTCTAGATATATTCATTTAAGTTGTTAGTTCTTACGCGTCTTTGGAATGACCTGCTTGTTAAAGAACAAGAATGACAAAAGCGATTCTGGTGGAAAACATGTCAATTTTTTTGGCCAAGTTGGATAGTCTTTTTGATATTGAATCACCTGATGCCATACAGGAAATCATGAAAACCAGGCTTCTGTAAGATCAGGGCTCGAATTAATGCAAAAAAAAAACTAATGGCAAAAAAAATAAAATAAAAATTAAAAAATAAAATTTTATTAACTTTTGGTTTAATGTTACCAATAATCACTAATTTTTGCAATAGAATATTTCTACTTATAAAATTTTCAAGAAAAAAATAATTAACTATTCGAAATGTTTACAATTTAAGTAAAACATTTTTCCTCACTTGCACTTGCACTTTTTTCCTCACTTGTTCTAAATCTGATTTTGTTACAGTAGCTATATCTACGTTTAACTTTCAGGAATGCGACTCGCTATGCCACTGGGTATTACAGACATCATTGAAATTAGATTTATAATTATGTTAAAATTATTTTGCACTTTATGTTGAATGAAAATCTCAAGAGAACAAGTGATAATCATACTTCAATGATATATTATATATTACTAAATGTCTAACTTTGATCTGAAAAGTAAAGCTGCTTTTGCCTTTTTTACAAATGGCAGATTAAATTTGTAAACAAGTATTATTTAACTTTTATTTTCTTAAAAATGAAGTAATATATTTCAAATATAAATACTATTCATGTAGTGTTAAAAGGAAATTAGATTACTTGTAAAGTAATAATTTATGTTTCCTAAATTCATTTCATTCAAAAATTCATTCACTTCATTTAGGAACTTTTGATGCTGACATTTTTAACTTTTATTCCACAAATTGATTTCAGCTTTTGCCCTTTTTACAAATGGCGACTATATTTATAAACAATAAACAAAAAATGACAAAGAAATGAAAAAGTTGCTGATGTTTGTCTTTCTGAAATAACTAACCACTGATGGCATTTGACAGCAGAAGTAGTTCAATTTTGCTTTTTTCACAGTTTCACAGTGAAAAAAGATATGACAGCCAAAATTTTGTTAATTCCAGTAACTGAAAATTTTTGTCTTGGTTAGCCAGTTTTTACAAATGGCGAAACTTGACAAACTTGTTTGGCAAGTGGTTTTACAGTTCGTAAAACCACTTGCCAAACAAGTTTGTCAAATATTCTGGGACTTAAATCTTACCTATTGTTCAGCATTCTCGACACCAAAACAGATTGGTTTGCTTAACCAATTGAACAGTGGAAAGAGCAACAAGGACACCAAGAAGCTGAAAAATTTGTTTGTACGGTAAAAATTGTAAATGATACCACAGAGAAAGGCGTGAAACTGACTTCAGCATTTGCCTATAGATTATTCTGGTCATATTTAAAATATCTGGAAAACTTTTTTATAATATCTGAAAAAAATCCGGAAAAATATTTTGAAAACATTTCCGGAAAAATGTGAGAATAAAAACGCTTTTTACGTATTTAAAAATATCTCATTTGCTTGAATAGAAAATTTAGCCAGGCATTCTATAAAAAAGAAAAATTTTAATACTTACTTAAATAGAGTTCATAAATTAAATTAAACTAGATTTTTAAGTCAAATAGTCAAAATAATTAAAGTGATCTCTATGTGCTGAGTGTTTACATATCTTAAATAATCCTTTAAAGATAAGTTTCATATTATTTAAATGTTACAAAAAAAAGTTTTCAACACATCAGCAAAAAACTTTTTAATATAGATTTTTAAAGCTATTTCTTTTTCTCAAAGGTAAGTTAGATTTTTTTTTTTAAATAAATACTGGTGTGATAAACGCTTTTGTAGTTAATAAATGGCGTCAAACAAAAAAGCTCTTTCAAATAACTTTAGCTAGAGTTAAAAAATGTTATGTTTGGGTTTTCCCTTTTGCAATTATGTTTTATTAGGTAGATCAATGCCTTTATATATAACCATTTATAAAACATATAATATATATATATATATATATATATATATATATATATACAAATAGTATTGCGTACTATTGTAAGCAATCTGACGTCATACTGAAATAGCCTACTGCTGGAATCTTCAGTACATACATCGACTGACAAATAGCCTGACTCGCAGTGGAGTGCTGCTACATCGACTGAGGGTCCTGGATTGGGAGGCAATCGTTTCATTCATCATTCTTCGTTTTTTCTTCTTTTTTTGAAAAAAAAACCGGTATAGCTTAAGGTAAGCAGAAAAAGTGAGCAAATGCTTATCAAAACACGCTTTAGTAAGTGTTTATATATATACATAAGGTGGTTTTTTTTGGTTAACTTAGTAAATTAGGGTGTTTTTTTTTTCAAAAAACTAGGCACAACCTCTAAATCTGTGTAAAATAATAAAATAACAATAGGTTTAAAATAATTTTGAATAAAATATATTTTAAGGGGTCCCCAAAGACCCTTAAATATTTAACGGGTCCCTAATATTAAAAAAAAAAGTTTTTCAAAAATAGGTCAACCAGGTACTCAAATAAAGGGAAATTATATAAAATTCCAAAAATAATAACTATTTTGATCAAAAATAATTTTTTTAACTTACATGTTGAAAATAACAGAAAAAAACTTTAAAAAATGCACATTTTTTTATTTTTTGTTTAAAAATGTTACTTTTTATGAAATAAAACCTAAAATAATTATTTTTTTCAAAACAATTATTATTTTTGAAATTTTTATATAATTTCGCTTCATTTAAGTACCAGGTTGAGCAACTTTTAAAAAACCTTTTTTTTATTTATATATTAGGGACCCATTAAAAATTCAAAGGTCATGGGGGACCCCTGAAAATATTTTTAATTTAAAAAAATTTAAACCTAGTGTTATTTTATTATTTTGCACACATTTAGAGGTTGTGCCTAGTTTTTTGAAAAAGTTGAAAAAAAAATTGAAAAAAAAACCACCCTAATATACATACATATATATATATATATATATATATATATATATATATATATATATATATATATATATATATATACATATACACATATATATATATATATATATATATATATATATATATATATATATACATATATATATATATATATATATATATATATATATATATATATATATATATATATATATATATATATATATATATATGTATATATATATATATATGTTTATATATATATATATATATATATATATATATATATATATATATATATATATATATATATATATATATATATATATATATATATATATATATATATATATGTATATATATATATATATGTTTATATATATATATATATATATATATATATATATATATATATATATATATATATATATATATATATATATATATATATATATATATATATATATATATATATATATACTCTTGCATGGAAGTTGAAAAGAGTTTCCCATAAACTGTAGTTTTAAAGAGCGCGTTAATAAACCAGACCAGAAAAAGTTTAAAAACTTAAATTTTTTTTTTTTTTTCAAATGATAGACTGCCTGCCCAAACCAAACCCTCAGTTGATGTAGCAGCACTCCCTTGCGAGTCAAGCTATTTGTCAGTCGTTGAAGCAGCACTCCCTTGCGAGTCAGGCTATTTGTCAGTCGATGTAGCAGCACTCTGTTGCGAGTCAGGCTATTTGTCAGTCGATGTAGCAGCACTCCATTGCGAGTCAGGCTATTTGTCAGTCGATGTAGCAGCACTCCGTTGCGAGTCAGGCTATAAGATAGTCGATGTAGCAACATTTACGCATGTTTTAAAAATGTTTTTTAATAAAATAAAAACAAAAACATCACTAATAAAAAAAAACTTTCTAGTCGTTATAATTGCGGTTTTTTAAAAATTTTTTAAAAAACAATAAAATTTAATGTACTTCTGCATTAATTTAATTGCTTTGACATTTCGACGACAATCAAATACAGCTTAAGAGACAAGGTAATTAAAATTGTAGTCGTAAGAGACTTTTTTTACATTAAAACGCTCTTTCGACTACATTATATGGATATATATATATATATATATATATATATATATATATATATATATATATATATATATATATATATAATATTTATATATATAAAACATTTATATATATTCATATATATATATATATATATATATATATATATATATATATATATATATATATATATATATATATATATATATATATATATATGGGTGACCAGACAATTTTTGATTTCATTTTCCCTGACTAAAATGTAACCTGGAGCATGAAACATATAATGAATCCATCCAGGAGATTGCTGAATACCAATATTGCGCCACTCTGTTTCTGTCATTAACTGTGTTTTTGGTATTAAGTCAACATACTTTCTTGGAATGATGACATGTCTAAAAAATTTATAAACATAAAATAAGATAACTAATAATTATTTGTGTATTGTACAGAATTAATAAAAGGTTGTTATTAACAGGTTTGAAAATTATTTTCAGATTTTCTTAAATAGATTTTGGTAAAAAAACTTTGGTTTTTTTACCTAAATCTAAATTATAATAACCCTTTATAATGGTTATTATAATTAAGATAAGTTATGGTTATTATGGTAACATCTTTTCAATTATCTAAGTATAACAAGATCTGTGCAATTACATTTGAAAATTTTACAGATGCAGTTACATCTCTTTAATTATGTTAAATAATGCATTATTTTAACCAGATATAGTTACATATATGGTTTTTTTCAGATACAGTTACACCAATAAAAAATTGAACAGTAAGCTACTTTTTTAAAGATATTAAAATTGACAACTGATACTAATGTCACTAAATATAACTTACCCTGATTTAAAACTTCGATATAATCTGCATTAAGAAAAAGTGACAAAATAGTAAATAACAATGAAGGTTATCTAAAAAATGCTAAATGATTCTTTTATCTGTTTTTGATTAAATATAAGATTGTTTGTCGCACTGGCTTAATTTATATATATATATATATATATATATATATATATATATATATATATATATATATATATATATATATATATATATATATATATATATATATATATATATATATATATATATATATATATATGTATATATATATATATATATATATATATATATATATATATATATATATATATATATATATATATATATATATATATATATATATATATATATATATATAGGTACCCTCGTATGCGTCTCTGGATTTCCGTGTTTTTTCAAACTACGCTATATGCATAGAGGAAAGAGTGTTTAAAAGCTAGCTAAAAAATAAACTGTAAATTTTTATTATATTTTTTCGTTTAAAGTGAAGGTTAAACTTGTTTATAGTTATACAATTTTTAAAAAATTGCGATTTTTTCACTGTTAAGGAATCCTGCCAAAATAGGTAATTTTCATATAAAGAATTTAATATACCAATACAAATGCTCATAAATGATTTTGACATGCTCAAATAAATTCTTCATAGATCTTTCATTTGATATATAATCACCGATACTTTAAAATCTCCTTTATGTTTAAAAAAGATGCATACAGTAGCTACCGCAAAATAATGTATTGTTTATAGCGCCATTTTTTAAAATTATTTTCATTGTTGCTTTGTATTTTTCTTTCCTTTAGATGGACCACAAGACTGCAAAAGATATTTGCGTTTTAATTAATTCATATAAATGCCAATCGAAGCCTTTGTTAAATGGTGACATTTACAACATTTTTTCTGAAAATAGTTTCAAATTATCAAAAACTTGTCTGAAATTAAAAAAACTGAACATTGGATCTCAAAATGCATCTGATTTTAAAATATTCTCCAACAATATAAGATACTTGCATAAAAAGATAAAAATCTTTAAAAAAAACCCTACCCAGTCATGGGCTGTTATTGTTAATTTTTTGCAGCAACCATTTAAATATGAAAGAAAAAGAAATAGTTCTAATACAAATATTCACTTAAACGTTGCAAGTGATTTAAATATTGCTTCAGACACAATGCAGAAAGTAAAGTGTGGTTCATGCAAAATAAAAAAAGATGAAATACGTAGGTTACAAGAAAAAAACAGAAAATTGCAGCAGAGAGTTTGTTTTTTGAAAAAATCAATGACCTGTAACAAGCTTACAAACAAAAAATTTAAAAGACAGTATTTTTCACTAAATTTGTGGAAATTGAAATATTCAGAAGGAAAAAAAAAAAAACAGTTCAACAGAATAAGTTTCATTCTCTAGATTTCATTAATGAATAGAGAATTCTTAAAATTAGTAGAACGAAGTTGCAACAAAATGTTAAAAAGATAGAAAAGAAACACAAAATTGCGATCAAAGAGTTACAGGAACAGATAAAAAATCAAAGAGCAAGAAAAGAAACAACTTGTAGAACAAAATCATTATTTAACTAGTATTGTTTTAGAAAAAAAAAAAAGATACTTATAGAAACCAAAAAATTAAAAACATATGACCTACCCATAAGAAAATGTGTTTATGCTGCTATTATTAACAATGTGCCTGTGGAAAGTGTCTCATTTTTGTTAGAAAAAATTTCTGAACTGTTACACAACATAGAACTGCAAGAAACACCTCACTCGTCCACAGTAAATTGAACGGCATATGAGCCAGGTGTTTTAGCATTGGTTCAGGCTGGTGAGGCACTTTTTCATTGTGAATGTGCAACAGTAGTGTTTGATGCAACCACCATTTTAGACAAACATGTAAATGAGTTCCTTATCAGTACCTATCCTCCGCAGAGATGTTATTCCTTATCAACCGCTAAACTTGCTGGAAGCACAGGATTTGACTGTGCCACTCATATTGTCAGTGTAATAAAAGAACTTGCCAATACATTTGCAGAGTTTAAAAATATGCCAGTAGTAGAAGTTTTAGATGTTTTCACTCAAAAAATCAAAAGTTGTCTGTCAGACAGAGCACCTGTTAATAGTTGTGTGAAAAACATGCTTCAGGAGGAGATGGACATTCAATTAATGCAACTGTACTGCAATGTTCATCCATTGGAAACTATTGCCTTAAAAGCATTATTAGCTCTTAAAACAATAGATAATGAGTTGAATATAAAACCAGCTAAAGGAACTGATGGGGTTGCAGTAACAGTCCTCAAAAATATTTCTAAGCTAAGGTAATCTTTTATATGTATATCTTTCATTATTTAATTTTTTTTTTAGTTTTATTTTCTCGTAAGCAATTATTTCTTTATTATTTCCACATTTTGAAAATTTGAAATTTTAATTTTTTTGCTCTTCAAAAATCAGGTATAGTTTTAAAGGCGATCCTGCAGCATTCAAAAGCTATCTTAAAAAAAACAATGTTGCTCCAGGGCTGTTCCTTAGATATGTTGGTAGTAGATTTAATGTTTTGTTCCATATGGCAGGGATTGTTGTTACATACGAAAGACTTATAAAAACCTTTCTTGAAAAGTAAGTTTTTTTTAGATGAATATTTGTTTTAATAGAATTAACAATTATGTATTAACATTATCTCGTTATTCTAGCAACACCAAAAATAAAATTTGCCAACTCTTACTTCAAGATATGAGTAATGATATAACGCTTGTGCAACTGCAAGGGTTGGGCCTGATAGGAAAAATAATAATTGGGCCATGGATGAGTCTGGTTTATAAAAATGCAACAGGAAAAAGTAATCTTGAGTTTGTAAGTTTTTAAGGTTTTCTAATAAACAAATAAAGTAGTTTAAAAAATGTACAAAAATTATTTTTTTATTAGGGTGACATTTTCCAGAAAGCAATAAGGAAATTATCTTACTTCAAAAGTAATCCAGAATCAATTCTTTATACAGATGTGGATATTTTTAGTCAAGTATTAAATATCAAAAAAGATAAGGTACACCAATCCCTTCGTGTAATAAAAAATAAAAATATTTTGGTAAAGATGGCCAGGTATTTGACTGGCAATCTCTCAAATCCATCTAAAGAAATGATAACCACACTATCTGCTCCACCTCATACAATGGAGGCTGAAAGGATCTTGGGCATGCTTGATTTTTTTTTGTGTCGTGCTCCTAATGCTACTTTTGGTTTTCTGGATTCTAAAATAAAAGCCAGAGTAAACAAAACATTAACATGGCTTGATGAGAAAACATTGCCAGAACAAGAAGATCTTATTCAATTTGTAATTCGCAGAGGAGTTTTAATGTGCCAAGCCTCTAAAAATTTTAATAATCTTTTGTATGAATAAATAGGAAAAAGATGCGCCAAAGCTAATTTAAAAAAAAGCGTCTGGAAAGAAAGCGACTAGAGAAGGATATTAAAAGAGCAATAGCTGAAAATACCAAAACCACATATCCTCTTTTTGTTAATATTGATGAAAAACAAAAACGAATTTTAGGAGTAATTTTGAAAAATGGAAACTTGATAGGGCAGCTCTTAAGCCATAAATGGGAGCTAGATGATGGTAATATACATTTATTTTTTGGTAGAATTGTTGATCAAAAGGTAGCAACAAAAAAAAAAAATCTATTACATACACAATAGGATATTGGAAAGTCAATGAAGATGAAGCTGAAGATATTGACATAAGCCAGGAAGGAGTTATAGCAGATCTAATACTTAAAGACTTGGAGTTCATTTAAAAATTACTATAATATATTAGGCATTATTATCTTTTATTTTGTTTATGTTGATTATTTTGTATACATTTTTATTTATTCCTTTTAGTTTTTAAATATTTTTATATTAACCAAGAGCAGACACAGGGTTATTTTACATTTCAGATACTGTACTTGGCATTGTGAAAACTCTAAGTATAAGTATGTTCAATCATATGTCAAATAAGAATGATTTGCTAAAAAATGGTGGTAATTAAAACTTAGGAACAAAACTATCTAAAAAAGATAGAACCCCCCTGTCTCAAATGTTAATTTAATGAGTAAATAATTTTTTAAGTTTATTATCCAAAACTAAATTTAAATTTACATTTTTTAATGCTCAAAGGTTATGGCCATGTGAAACAACTTAAAAAAAAAAAACTTTAAACATATCAAGAATCATTGGGTCTGTTGATGGATTTAAATGTAGTATAAAATAATAAGTAAAAGTATTTTAATAACTTGGTCCCCTCACATTTTTATGTGGGGTACAAACTTTTTGGGGTATTTTTGTTCCTAGGCTCCAATCACTTCAATCTTTTATACAATTTTTTTTCACATTCTCATTAGATTTAAGCATGAACAAACTTAAATTTAGATTAGTTATGGTAATTTTTTAATAAAATGACTAGAATTGAATTTGACCCCCTTTTAAAATGGGCTTAGACACCCCCCCTCTCTTTTTTTTTTTTTTTTAATTTAATTTATATAAGTGGGATATAATAAACAGTTTTTATCATATATATGACAGTAAATTGTTAATATTTTATGAACTATGTTAAAGTCCACTTTTTGAAGTCATTTTCTTGTGTATCTTTGTTAAGATGCCCACTTTATTTTCTCTACTTTCAAAATTGAATATCTTTTTTTATAGTTGACCCCAGATAATAAATTTGGTATATATATATATATATATATATATATATATATATACATTTATATATACTTTCAAGATTGATTAGAGTTCAGTGAATTAAAACTTTGTGTGAATAGGCGAAGAACTGCTTTCATGAATTTCATTACAAGTAAAACTAATAGAAAAATAACCAATAATCTTGCATGTGATTTTTGTGTAACATATATAATTTACGTAAATCAATACACACACACACACACAAAAGAAAATTATGCTAAAAGTATTTTGATTCTATAATTTTTTGGATTTTAATAGTCATAAAAATAGTGTCTAACTCTATCTTATATTACTTTTGGTATCTCGTTGAATATTTAAATGACAAGCGGTAATAAGACATTTTCTTTGAAAGCATACTATTTTTAATGAATTAAAGTTAATAATAAAAAATAGAATCGTTATGTAATAAAACAAATTCAATTAGAATCGATTATTCATTTGGAAAAGAAAAAGGAGAAAACATTTGAAGATAATTTATTTGAAATGAAAATAATACAAATATTTCTCTACCTATATTCATACTCTCCGTCATCATACTTTGCTGAGTATTGCAACTCATCAACTGGAATCATCATTGCTTTTATGAAAGCCTTTTATTCACCCTACTCTTTTATGTGTGTACAAGAATCTATGGTAGATCACCAGATTCTAGAAAAGACATTCATATGATGTTTTGAAGATATACTATGTTACTACACATTGGTCCGTAATATATGCACGAGTTACACTTTTATGAATTAGCCGAATAGAAGAGACCGTGGTAACTAATAGTTACCTCCAATGATCCTCAAAATTTAGAGTTTTTTGAGTCGATATTATTTAAATTAATTATTTTTGAAAATTCAAGTGGATGATTATAAAAACATTTTTAAAATTTTTTTACTAAAGTTGCATGATTTCGAAGATAAAGGGAAAAAGCGAACAAACTAAAAGGTACTAATATATAATAGTCAGGATTTTAGTGAAACAACTGAGAAAGTTCGTAAAGAACTATTTGCACAAGCAAAAAGTTACAGACAAAATAAACTTTTGCATAAATGGCTATTATAAAATAATAAATTGACAGTACACGAATTTAGGCAAGTTTAGATGCAATTGAAATTTAAAAAATTTATATGAGTTCTTGAATGAGCTTTTATTTTATCTTTTACATTTTATTTTAAAGTGGCTGAAATTTTTTTTGCTAACGAATATTTTAAAACTTTAAATTTTGCTCCTTGAGTACTTTCTTAACTTTTTTGAATATTATTAAAGAAACTTAACTTAATGAAAATATCATACTTTGATCCTTATTGTTTTAAAATCATAAAGGTAATACTTTTCCAACATTGCATTTAAACATAAGAAACATGCGTCAAAATTTAGAAAAATTTAATTTTTTTTTTAGATAATATAAAGTTTGTAAGACTTTCACCCGACTTTCTGTTTCATGCCAAGCCGCTGACACAGCTATGACGTCGAACGTGTAGTTTATAATTAAACTGCATGTTCGACGTCATAGCTGTGTCAGCGATTTGGCATGAAACAGAAAGCTTGATGAAAGCCCGAAAATCAAACCATAATAATAGTTTGCCAAATTATAGAGTAATTAGCCAAACGCGAGGAAATCATAAAAAAGATGGAGTGATAGGGTTTACATACTAGTAAAATATTTAAAATATAAAAAATATATATAATAGATAAAAAACAATTATGCTTAGTAAATGAAAACCATAAACAAAAACAAATGACAAAATACTATTATCGGATGTGTTTTTTAATTACATTAATAAAAAAAATATTTTTTAATTATGATTTTTGAAACATGAATGATTTAATTTAGTATTTGTTTTATTTAAACAAATTTCTTACTTTAAAACATTGTAATAAAACAATGTTTTAAAGTCAATGTTTTAAAAATTGACTAACTTGAAACATTGTAATAAAACAAAAAAAAACAAAAAATAATAAATTAAAAAAAAAATTTGGAGTTGCCATGGAAACCAATTTTTAATTGGCGGAAATTTAAAAATTGACTAACTTAAGGCAAAAATATTCAAAAATTTAAGAGATCACATAGAATAAAATTTTGCATATAACTAGCTTTGTGTTTGAAGTATACAATGAACCTCAAAAACTAAATTATTTCTTAAGACGTGGTTCATTTCTTTAAATGATTTAAAAGCGATGCTAATTTAAACCCCCATGTTGACTAAAAAATAGCTATGTTTTGTTTTAAACACATACATTCATATAATTTTGAGGTTCATTGTACAACTTGATACATTGTTATTTAAATACTGCGGTTAGTAGTTGAATGCAGAAACAAACTGTTTTTAACTACTAATGTCAAAACTTTTTGCTTTAAATCTTTTTTTAAAGTTAAAAGTCATTTAAACCATTAGTTGTACATTACAACATAAGTTCTAACCTCGTTATTTCTCATAAATTGTACATAATTAAAGGTTCTACTTACTTATATATATATGATATGGATAAAAAATCAGCTTTTTAAAAATTGCATATGTTGAGTTATTCTGAAACCAATATGGCGACAAAAGTGAAATACCCTAAAATAACATGAACCCCTAAAACTTATTTTGAGCAAATTTCTTTTAATTGCATCATTGGAAAGAGCTTATTTCACATTTTTAGAAACAATGAAAACTATTCTGGAGAGATTTATTTTAGGAACTAAATAAAGCAAGTTTTTTTAAGCTTGGTTTACCAAGTCTTTGATTTCTTAAAAGCGATATTAGGTTCCGTAAAATAACTTGCTGTGTAAAGCTAATTTTATTTAGTATATTTTTATTTAACAGAAAAATCTCTCTAAATTAAATTGAAAAGTTTAATTTACATAAGTTTATCACGAACATCGAATAGAATTATTAGAAGGCGAAAATTAGAATTGAAATTAAAACAAGAGTTGTTTTAAATATATCTACATCTTAACATGAACAAAACTTATTTAAAACTTTTTTAAATACTTATTCACGAAAAAATTTGTCGATTTTTGCTCAGAACATTGAATCGAAGACCCAGCAAACAAAAAGACATCTTTTAGCTGTCTTAAAAACGTCTTTTCAATATTAAAAAAGATGTCTTAAAGATATCTTTAAAAAGTCTACGTTGTCCGTCGAAAAAACGTCTTACTCAAGATTGCTTAAAAACGTCTTACTTAGGACCGATTTAAAACGTCCTAATTAAACCGTCTAAAGGCGTTTTATTCATTACGTCTCAAATATGTCTTAAAGGTCTAGGTTGACCGTCGAAAAGATATCTTACTCAAGCTAGCTTAAAGTCATCTTACTCTAGACAGATTAAAAACGTCTTACCCAAGCGCTTTAAAAACGTTTTACTCAAGAAGTCTTATTTTAGAAGACTTTTAGGTGTTTAGTTTAGATAAAATTAATGCCGCATTTGTTAGAAACATAAATATATAGAGGAAAAATAAATAAAAAAAAAAAAATTAATTAATAAAATTAAAAAAAAATAAGTTACATATATTATATATAAGGGACATATAATACAATTAGATGGATTTTAATAAAGTATCTTTCTATATAACAATGTATATAACATACAATACATACAATAAAAAATTTTAGTTTCTATTTTTCCGCGATGGAGCATTTTTACAATATCTTCCGATTTGCTGTCTTATATCTTTGAAACTTTTTGAAACTTTTCCAAACCTTCTTGTTACAACTTCTAAAAATAAATTAAAATTTACAAACACTTGCCAAATAATAAAATGTAAACTTGCCACATAAATTATGCGGCAGTGGTGTAGTGGTAAGAGCGCTCGCTTTGTATGCAAGAGGTTCGAAGTTCGACTCCCACCGCATCTCTGGAAGTACCGCACTCAACTTAATTTCTCCGTGCAGCGGCCTTGCTTGTCAAGGTTCGTGTTTCGGAGTTTAAGAGTTGAGAGAGGGTTGT